AAAATGGTTCAGAGTATTTTGAAAACGTTAACATGTAAAAAATGACAACATTCTTAAATATTTGGTGAAAATTTAATTTAATTTTTAATTGTTGTGCCTGTCATCATGGTTTGAGGCATTTAAAGTGCTTCGATTTTCTTCAACAGCAACTTTTCTAGTAGGAAAATCTAAAATTTCCAATAGTTTTCAAAAAAAGCGACAGGAATAACAGGAATTTTATAAAGTTAGATATAGTGAATGATAATGGTATAAGATATTATGAACAGTTTCAAGTCTTTACCCCTTGCCCTTATGAATTGTATTTTTTTTAATAAAAACAAAATAGCTAAAACTATTTACATCGAATTATACATTCGATAAAATATTGTAACAGATATATCTAATTTATAAAATTTTCAAACTGCTGTCATAATAACTTATGAGGAATCTTGTTTTCGATTTACATTTCTTAAAAAGCATGAAATATTATTTGATTATTGTATTTTTTATCTTGTATTTTAGATTCCAAGTGGAGCGTTTTACAAATTTACAATGATACATTAACAACTACATTTGGGAATGACAAATTAAATATTCCATACATTGATTGTAACATATAATATCACTAAATAATATTATAGGTGAAAAAAAATAAAAATAGAAACATATTTTTCTTCTGATCCTTTTAACATAAATATATTTTCTGGTTCTATACAAGATAACATTTTCTGATCAATTTTTCGTACGGTTTTCTTGTCATGGTTTAATATTAAGAGGACGTCATAAAAATGTTACGATATTCATTTTATTTGTTTTAAATAAAAATATATATTCATTGTTCATAGGTTTTCCTTGTAGAGGAAAAATATCGAGTTATGTGCTATGGTTTTTCTTCAGCTTTCGCTACACCTTGTCCTTCACATCTCCAAGGCTCCTTCCTTACTCATACAAGCTATTCTCATGTCTTTTTCTATTGCATCTGCCCATCTCACATTTGGTTTTCCTTCTCATTTCTTTTGTTCTTCGTTCATTTTCATAGCCAAAAAAAAACCCAAAGTTTATTTGATAGATATTTTAAGTTCAAATTTTGACGAAATTAGATATTTAAGCGAAGGGGTAAGAATATTTTAGTTATTTTGTTGTAATTTAAAAATATTATTCATAGTAGGCTATGGTAGGTTAGGGTGCTTGAAAGTATATTATTATATTTTATTCACACAATAACATTTTCAAATCAAATTCTATCGAATAATTAATTCAACATACTTTACTAATAGTAATAATATCAAAAAATATACTTGGTAGTTATAAACTAATAAACGGTCTTGCTCAAAATCGTTTTCGTATAGATTATTTGTTTTATGTCTATGAATTCAAATTTGACACATATCCATGTAATTAAGGACTTTTTACTAAAACAATTAAAAACAATTAAACAAGTACAATTTTAACAAAACGAGTACACAATTAAATAGTTAAGATATTTATTTATATTTCATTATAAACATTGAAGCAGTCTTTCTTTCGTTCAAACAAGGACAAACCTTACAATTTATCATAGGTGTAGCGTGATGGATTGATATGAGGGCCGAGGGGGTTATAGCCTATAGGCTATAATGTTTCGGGTATAAAACCTTATGTTCTTACATTTGATCCAAAAAAAAATGTACAAGGAGACTAAACAAAATACTGAGGGGGTAAAGCCCTCTTAGCCTTCCATTATGCGCATATGTGATGTATGCACTTGGAATATGAACGAGATTATTGGTTTTTAGCTTCATAGGTACTTCACATCGCCTAAGTGGCCCACATCGTCATTGTAATTCCTGACATTACTTCAATGTCCCGATTAGTAAATAGCATTTAATATCTTACTTAAACTTTACTAGAGCATTTGAAGCTATAGAAAACCGTTATTTGTAATACATTAATTGCGTATAAAAAAAAATTACAAGCCTAACCTTATTAAAACAGTGAATAATAATTTTTAAAAACCTAACAGCTGCAAAATCGTGTTTAAGAAAATGATTAATTAAAAAACGTGTTTGTTACTAAAATAAATGACATTATTTTCTCCTTAATAATATTTTCTGGTGAAATCACAGATCTGTGGGTAAAATAGACAGATTTTTATAAACTACTAGATAGAAAACTCTTTGGATATCAGGTTGAAGCCTGGTTATCCGTTAGAATTATATGGTATATTTTATATGGTAAATATTAATTATATTGTATTGTATTTTATTATTTTTACACCTGTAGTTTAAAAAAATATATTATTTTATTAAACATAAAAACGATGTTATTCCTAATTAATTTCGTATAATGAATTAAATGTTATACCAACCGACAAAATGACGGCCAACTACTAGGCGAACTTCACTGATAACAGTATAAATAATATAAGATTTCCCTATCTAATGTAGTATAAAATGCTGTGTTACAATATGGGACATAGAAGTCCCGCCGGGCTATAACGACAGTTGCATATTTAGTATAGGTAGTATGTAATTTGATATGACTTTTTTTTTACTTGGATTTTGAAAGTTCCGTCAGTCGACAAGGGGTTGTATGTTAAATACTTCTCTTCTCATTTCATCGAACTGCATGCACGTATATTCATTTTAGGCACCTGCTTCATTCAGAGCTCGAATGAAATAGTCAGCGATAAGCAGGTTTGAATCGATACAAACAATAACATACGGTTAAAATGAAAAATAACAACTAAATTTATAGTTATATTAACCACAATTATTGTTATGTAATAATATTTTGATAAGATAATAATTATTATATAATACTGTGTGTGTCACAACAACTATAGCATATTTCAAAGTGATATAATAATATTATGTGACACATAGTATTTCGCTAAAAACAAAAATTATTATATAATTTGTGCTCACTAAGTATCTGTTTGTCATGACGTAGAACACGTGTTTCGTATAGTGTTTTAACAATAACAATATTACACATTATACACAGTCGAATCAGGATGACTCAAAGTCAAAAGGAGATAAAAAAATCGCTTCAAGATATTAGGCGTACTATTCGAGGGACCACACCTAACCTCGGGGGTAGTAAAAAAATCGATTTTTTCGAGTTATCGTGACTCAACGGTGTTATTTTTTAGAAGAGCTTTGTCCTAAACATAATTATAAGACTATTCTTAATTTATTTTATTCATAAAACCTTTATGCTAGGCACATTGCAAATATATAATTTATTACTAAGCCCCTATCTAACTTAATTTACTTAACTACCCTACTTCAACAAGTCAATTTTAAAGTCTAGTGTTACTAGATATTCACTCCTCCATTCTCTATTCAATTTTCTTATTTTGATTTTTAATTAACTCCCATATACATACACTCCCATATATATAGTCTTATGAGTATTATTAATGAATACTCCACCTTTAATTATTCATAATAATTTTTATAATCAATACTCCCTTCATCTATTATTTTAACCACTATCAATCAATGAACTTGCAACGAGTCGCATAGGTAAACATTTGGTTTAATTTAGGAGGAGGGGTCTAGATTAATCCAATACTAATAATCCTATAATCCTTCAAATAGTTTTAATTTTGAGAGGGGACTATTGAAATTTCTTTGGGGGCTAAGACCCCCGATGTTTGTCTATAGATGAGTGAATATGGTTGTTGACTAAGGACGTTAAAGAGATTCGACGCGTGGATCGCTGCTGTGAAATGTGCAGTGTGTATTTAGTGAAAACACGTGGGTGAAGTAATAAACTTCTTTCGGAAAAGTCAAATTGATAAAAAAGGAATAATCACATTATTTTAAATTTGAATACTGATGAATTAAAATTATTTATGTCGACAAATGTTTAAAACATTCCAAGTATGATGAACAATGATTAATTTTAATTAAAACTTTGTGAAAATTCTTTATAAAAGAAATTATAAATTTTTTTACTTTTTTTCTATAAAATATATCAAGTAATTATTTTTTGCTGAGCCAAAAAGCTAGAAAGTTTAAAACAAAAGGTTTGTTGTATTGAAGTTTCAAGTCTTACATATGTTGTTTTGTTATAATAGCAGATTAAAAATTATTAAAAATACATATTAGGCAAGATTTTTTAAGATTTTTTCATCAAAATTACCAAAATTTGCAAATATAATATTGTCATTTAAAGTATTAATTTTTATAGCTAAGGATTGAAAGTTTGAATACAAAGATTTTTATAAGTATTCCATAAGTTATTATATGACCTAACAATCTAAAAAATATATAAGCACAGTTCTATTTTACAGATATTTTAAGTTAACATTTAGATTAAATTAAGATTAAATTAGATATTTGAACAAAGAATAACGATTATAGTTATTTTGTTGTAACTCAAAAATATTATTCGTGTTGACATGCAACTTTTAAAGTTTATTATTTTTTTTAAAATAAATTAGTATGTATTTTCGAACTTCATATTTTACATATTTTACTACGTAGATTTTAAAGGCTGAATTAATTATTTTAATAGGTTAAATTCACAGGCATACTTAAAACTAGTTAAAAATTAAAATATCGAAAAACCGTTATTATATGTCATAATATTAATATTACTTTCACAATAATATTGGTTCTATACGTAATATGTTAGGTTTACTTGTATGTTTACCTAGGTAATGTGGACAATATTATACTACACCATTTACTGCTGGGAAATCCGAGGAGTATAGATGTGCTTAGGGTGGTTGTTGCTTATTTCATTTAGTTTGGTTGTGTGAAATATTGGAATCGCTAACATTTTACACATATATAGTAGGTGGAAACAAAAGCCATAAAATATTGTCACTTAATTTTCTCTCAATTATTCCAGAGTAAGAAAACATAATACAGCCTCTCTATAATTGAGTATTGTACCTATCACACAAGTCACACACATTGAAATAGTCTTACACGCATATATCTACACTATCCGCGTGACCACGGTACGTCACATTACACGAAAACGTGATACCCACCTACATATTATTATTATGTATCATAGTGCTCGAGTATAACGCTCTAACAGTCGGAGTTTGTTGTTTTCGTCATTCTATTCCGAGCTCGCCAACAGAGTACTTCAGTCGTATTCAGTAAGCACAAGATCAACAGAACGTAAAGCAAGGCGCTTATATCGGTAATTATTTTATTGTATCACAAATAATTATTATAGCGTTTATGATATTATGGGCTTTATTGATAAATTGAATTATAACTATAAACAGTTGCACTATGATTATTATTTCGTTATGCTGTTGATTGTTTAAAAAATATCTTTCATATGATATACTGCATACATATTATATTGATGACATTCGAAACGATATGCTAGTTATTTTAACCAACAGCATCATCAATATGAAATTACAATGATGATACATTTTTTTTTATCGAGTTAAGTCTTCAACATTTATGGTTATTGGCCTGAATTTTAATAAGTTGGGTTTAAACTGTAGCCGCAGTGAAGCCGATCACCTATTTCACCTAGTTTAGCCTATTTATTTATGTAATTATAAAACTGTCCAGGATTTAGAGTGTGTAATTTTGAATCAGCAACAAAATAATAATTGTATTGTTTCGCTAAAATATGTTTAATAATAAAACGATCACGGTCCCTACTGTTCATTGATAATGTTATTCATGTAGAAATTCATAAGACGTTTACATATTTCTGGTTACCCATTCACTTTGTAACACTCAAATATACAACAATTAAAAATGTTTGTTCAATAAAGTGAATAATACCTAGGCCTTATAAATCTATTTTGTTTCATAATCGCACTAGCATAATAATCATTAACTAATATTTACTTGTAGTAGCTATACTACGGTTTAGAGTATTTAAATATAATTAGGACGTAAATAAAACTTAATAAAATAAAATCATTTTTAAATTACTTGAAATTTGTATTAAATAAAAAAGGTAGGTAGTAAATATGACGTCACGTTAGTAGTTGGCCAATTAAATTTTTTGTTTTATTTTAACAAGTGAAAAAATCTGTATCAATTATACTAGACACAATAAAAATATATTATGAGGTAAGAGTTAACAGGTGGTAAGATTTTGTTGAATGAAGCCACCCATTAATAACACTTTCGGTTTTGGTAATTAATTTAATTTAAGTGATTGTGACACCACTTACGCTTCAGACGTCTTGGCATATTTCCAGGTATTGTGGGTAGGGGTTTGAATTTAGAATATTTCACTTGAAATTTTTCAATTGAAAATGTCACTTTTCTCGAAATATTTCAATGAAATTAGGAAAATATCTTTACTTCTTTTAAACATGTTTGGTTGTAGATGATTATAAATAATAAATTGATTACATTTAAGACAACTTTGATAATGAATAACGTTTCAGTTATAAACCAAAGTTCACAAATTACTATACAACTAATGGTTATAAACTAGGTTTGATAACAAACATCAAAATTTTTTTATAAGAGTAATATGGTATGATGTTGAGCTGGCTTATGAGTTTCCAGGTTCTGAGTTAAAACGTTAAAATTTGTTATATTATTATTATATTAGTTATTTTATATTTAAATATGATAAATATTTTCTTTGTTCCGTCAATGAAACAACTTTTAAAAATTTTTACTTGAAAGTTGGCGACTATAACAATTTTATTTTTATTTTCCATAGAAATGAAATATTTCAAAAAATAAATTTCATGAAATTTTACAACCCTAATTGTGAAAGTGGCCAAGTTTTTTATTAGTTCATTTGGATGATTATTTAAACAGTTACGAAATCTTTATAAAATATTTTTGCTTCATCATTTATTGATTTAAGTTTTAAGTCATTATGTAGTGTATGATTTGACACGTAGTGTGGAGCATTCACTAGTTTTCTAAGAGCAATATTTTGAAAGGTTCCGATTTTTAAGATATTTGACTTTTGCGCAAAGCTGAAGGGCAATTAAATTTGGAATTGAAAAGTGTACATGAAAAAAACATTGAAAAAAAACCCTTATGCAACTGTACAAACAACTTAAAAACTCGTGAAATTATAGGCGTGTATATAATACTATTAATTTGTATACTTAGTTATGTAATAAACTAGTATATAATTTAAATTTGAACATATTTAACAAAATTATTATCACAATTCAAAAATAATTTACAAAATAAAGCACAGTACGGTACTATAAACATAGACTGTTAATTAACATTTTAGTTCTAATTATTATTAGTAATATATTATGCCAGTGGCGTATTTGGAGGGAGGGTGTCCTCCATGTCTAGACACCTCCCGACTTGAAAAAAAGAAGGACTAATATATTGGTATTATCGTTTATTTTATATAAACGGTAAAACTGAAATTAATTTGATTAGATTCGACAACACGTTGCGAGACTTATTTACAGTTTATCAGGAATATCCAAAAATTATTTGAATTTCGCCGGGTCATTCAGATAAAAAAAATACCAGCAGCAAAAATATTGTGAACTTATAATGTAGTTTATTTTTTATTCTAGTTTACAGTTTATTAGTTTAGAGAATTATACATTATAATAATACCATTATTTGTCAAATTTGTCATTTATTTTCTCGTTGACCGTCATGGTGTACGTACCAGGTGATTATTGAATAACGTAGGTAAGTACTAAGTAGATACATATTTATTTAAATTAAATAAGTAATATTTAATAAGATCCAATTACCTAAAGTAATTCAGAATTATGAAGAAATAACCAGTGTTGTATTGGTAAATATATTTATGGGTACACTCATTATTAAAATATGTATAGTATATACCTATTAAACCTAAAAATGTTTTCTCGCTCCGCTCCAACATTAATTCTTTATATACGTTTATAACTTTGTATTAAATACAATGAAATTAAAGGTCGTTAAGTATTAATGTCCTCTTGTTCGGCTAACATTGTAATCATAGAATATCACATATGTTTGTTTCAATATTGTGTTATCACAATATTCAAAATTCAAAACAATAATTTAATAATTTTCAATTACATTTGTTTTTAGTGCATACCTAGTATTACTATTCATAATTTTATAATAAATTAATAAATAAGTGAACCTCGGCCTGTACACATAACTGATGACGACTCTGAAATGTTGTAAATGCTCTAGAAGTCAAGACTCAAGTCCATCGGTATTCAAAAAATATTTTTTTGTAAATATTGTTTATTATAATTAACAATAAAATAGTTTTCGCTCACTACGATTTTGCTAGGTAGGAATAATGGGCATGCTTCATAATATTTGGCCCTCTTTGAATAAAAATAACAATAAATATTAAAAAAATATCATGAATGATAAGAAATAAAAAATAACGTTGTCATTCTTTGAAGTCTCATTGTGTTACCGCAGCGGTGTGTTAAATTGTGCTGATTTTAATTTTGAAAACAATTTCCATCACGTTCTATTTATTATTGCCTTTATTGATTAGTTTGAAATTACAGGTGTATACTATCAATAATCGTGAATAACCGTGCACGATTATCTTAGAGTTTTTGACTAAGTATCTACTTATAACTATTATTATATCATCAGCACACTGATCGCCTAATACACTAGCACTACACACAAATAATACAGTAACATTAATACATGATATTGTGGGCACCGACCGGTATTAAATTCGGTGTAATTAATACAAGAGAGTAATTTTTAAAACAATTGTTAGAAATCAGTATTAAGTAACAACGTCCAACTTTATTTGTCTATCACACCATATACCAGAGTTCTAATGTAAAATTACTTGTCAATTCCTAACATAGGAATTTAAAGAAAAAAAGTAAGTTCTCACGTTTTTTTACATCAATTAGTAATTCTAAGAATGTTGTATATGAGGTCCATTAAATGTTGGACACCCCCCCCCCCCCCCGAAATCCTCCAAAATATACCACTTAACTATACTACAACATTACTTATCATCTATTATAGCTATTAGTGTTATTATACGGTTATGCATGTTCGATAAACTTAAAATCTTGTAACACGGCGTTCTGTATAGGCTTTTTAGGCACATCGATGTCGTGTGTCAGTGTTCTCGGTATTTCGTAACTATTCGAAGTAATATAATGTAGCTAGCTTTAATCCATCTATTGTTTATATTATAAATGAGTTAGGTAAATACAATTTTGGAGGAATTTTTAAATGTCATAAATTGAAAAATGTACCAATACCGTGATTAAAAAAATATTAAAATATAATAAATTATGTTACCTACCGCAATCAATTCATTGTATTAAACTTAAATAAGTACGCTTTTTCTAAAGATTTTTCGTTGGTGTTCATTTTAACTTATCACAACTTACCTTAGAACAAGACTGTCACAACTCAAAAGTTATAGATTTTAGAAAAAGCAATTTGAAGTTTGAACCCTAGATATTATTTTAAAGAGTGTTTTACCCATGAGTTTGAAACTAAAAATTTAAATACTTGCAAATATACTTTACAATATGACTTTTTCAAATATTAGGAAATACTCTCTTAAACCCAAAAATTTGGGATTGTGGCCTTAAGACTTGCATTTTGAGATGTTGTTGTATTGCAAATAGACATTTATTTGAAGACAGCTTTATACTAAAATATCGCAGTATTTTAAATTTCTTATTATTGCTGAAATATCTCAGATTATAAAATGTAATGTACCACAACTCTAAATATTGCTGTTTTGTACTCAACATATTATCACGCAAAAATTAGTGTGCAAGAACAAATTGAAATGAGGAAGTCTTGAATTTTGACTTTGGTGATTAATTAAAAAAAATAAAATACTGCCTTAAATATGGCTCTCTTCCTTTGAAAATTAATTTAAAAAATGTGATGATTCCAATAGTGAAACATTTTTTTACTGTTTAAATAATGGAGATCTTTCATTTTATAGAGCTTTTTACTTTATTCAAAAGTGTCATGACTCGAAATTGATGAGTTTTGTGTTGTGGTAGTCTTGTTCTAGAGGTACGTTGTGTGGTTACGTATTTACGGATACTTCACTACTAGTAAGTGGTAGATGAGTGTTTCTAATGCACACACGCGCACATACACACACACACGTCATTGCAATCATTAAAATAAAATACAAAATTTATCTCTCCTCCTTAAAACTAATATTCAAACTTTTTAAACTTTATTTCAACCTTTTATTTGAATTGTTTGATGTCATTATCACTGTTTTAAAAGTGAGTAAGATGTCGTTAAAAATAATATTTTTTAATTTTGCAACTTTGAAACAATTTATATGTTTGTAAAATATTACGAATTAATAATTGCTCTTAGTTCGCTTTAAAATTAAAAGATCGAAAAACACATAAAATACATTATTGACAGTGTTGTCACTTTTAAGTAGGTATGATATAGCCATATAGGTTATTACCTTTGTCCTTTATGTTTAATACTAGTTTACTCAATTAATTCTCTCGGGTATTAAAATTTATATTTAAATGTAATATTCAAACATAATGATTTACATTTCTAATATTTGAAATATCAATATGTTAGGTGTATCCTATGAACATTTATATTAATAATCTTAATAATCGTACATTGTCCCTACTTGAGAATACGAGACAATTTTTACCAGACAATGTTTTACAAATATTGAAGGGACTTTAACTTTTGATAAATTTAATTAAAATTGCATTTTTCTTTTTAAAAGATTATTCCATCTAAATTACAAATTTTAACTTATATTTATTTAAAGTTAGTATTAAAATATGAATTTATTAGTTTTTTTTCGTTTGCTATATTGTTTCCACTTCAACTAAACATAAAACTGCACAAAATTCTAGAGTTTGGGCATTGTGTTTAAAACGTATAAAAGACAAAGAGCGTGATAAATCATGTTAACTTGAATATAAATTACGATTATGCAAATTTAAATCCTTGTACCGAATGAGAGAAACATATTCTAAACGATATTCCTCTCCTGAAAAAATACCTTTTTTCAGATACTTACGTGTTGTTGCTGTCCGGGTCATATTATTTTCATACCTAGACGGCTAGGCATTTAATTAACAATTCTACAATAATTTAACATTAATGTAACACACATCTGTGTACGACGTCGCATTGAGTTTGTAGGTATTCGTTGTAAAATAATTATAAAGTGGGCGGTGCTTAAAATATTGTTCCCTTCCCATTTCCCAGTAGTGTACAGTGGCAGTAGAGAAAGCTCGATGCTCAACAACGTGATCGCCTGTTATGTAACTCAATTCTCTTGAAACGAGTATTTTTGTGGTGGCGAGGAGGAGGGGATATGTACTAAACTATTGTACAATGTGCACGTGACTTTATATGTCAACGTGACATATTATATTAACGTCTATTCATATAATACACTATGCCAGTGTGGAATTAATACATCATAACTTATACAATTATTTGAATGTCTTCTAAAGCAACTAAAACATAACTTGGTACGTATTTATTTTTATAAATATACGATATTAGATACTTAGATTTATTGGAAGGTACTTATTTGTATCGCATAAAAATGAAAAGTTATTACTCATTATAGTTAGGTCGTAGATGATTGCTGCTGACTTTGAAATATCCAAAAAAAAATACTAGATTGCCCCTGCAGGTTACCTATATAATAAAACAAGCAAAATGTTCATAATTCATATTATAATAATGTTATGTGATATTTTATGAATTCAATGTGAGAATTATCATCACCGTAATGTTTAATTTCAAATTAATTATAGTAAAAATATTCTTAGTTATAATATATTATTATAATTGTTACCAACTACATATCTATGATTCTGAATGTAACACGGTCTCCAATAATTGCATTAGGAATTAATTGCACAAAATATAATATGTGTGTGTAATAAATGCACCTACATATCTGCTGTACATATATATATAAGGCTTATCTGTACAGTATTATATTATATAGCACACCCCAAGCTGTGGCTTATTTAGTGGGTGGGTGAGATCCATGGACACAATTACACCGGACAGCACTTTTTGGGGGTCAGTAAATTTTACACATGTGTTTAATAGTTGAAAAAAATATTGTCATTTTAATAACAATGGTGAGGGGAAGATTTAATTTTAAAAAAGGAAACCGGGGCAAATCTTAAGTATGTTATTGAACCGAAAGCTGAACAATCATACCATCTAGGACCTTGAGTACCTAAACCACTTAACAAATACTACATGGGATATCAACTATATGAATAATAAATTGAAGTAAAATATAATAATATGATATTATTATCTCGGATACTATTAACTGATCTGCATTGCATTATTGTGTTCTTAGATAATACCTGGAGGAGATCTTTAACGAAAATAATTAAAATGGATGAACTATTTCGAAATAGTAACACACAAAATATGTTTGCACAATTGGGAACTCGCGTTGGTAATGATTATGTTCCATCCAAGAATTGCTATAGTAAGTATAGTGTATAATCAAATACTAAACAATTATTTGAGTGTTAAATATAGCCATACACGTATTTATTTTGAACGCCAAGTAACTTATTTCGGTAATGCGGTTAAAGCTGAAGTTAACCTAATTATAATTATGTTTGTCAAAAATGTAATACTATTTTACTTAGAAATAACAAAATAAAAAACATAAAAGTGTACACTAAACACATATTTACAATCATATGTTTAACGTTGCACATACTTTTGTGTATTAAACTTAACATAATATGTGGTGTGCCCCCCCCCCCAAAAAAAAAAAATGTTATGAAAACTTGCTTGCAAAAACGTGTCTTTTATTATTATTATTTATATTTTAAGGCAATGATAAATGACCACAATAGCTAACTTATAATTCCTTTAATGAAAAATGGTTTACACTTAATAACTCAAAGCGATGAATGTATTGATTTTAAAATGTGTGTGTGTACTTTTAAAGAAAAAGCAATAGATTTTCAATATCGAAAGTGATTTTTGGTGAGAACCTAGACAGTCTGTACTTTGGGAAATTAAAAATAAAAATAACAAAACAGAGATATTACGCTTTACTAATTATTAAATACTATGAGAAATTTGAAATTTTCATGAAATATTTATGTTACTACTTTCGGAACATGATACAAGTTTCAAAATATTTTTTGTTTTTTTTTCTTTAGCTGTGTATGCTTATTTTATCATTTGAAAGCTTCAGACCAATATTTCTGTTTCTTATTCAAAAAGCTTGAAAATGTGATATAAAATCCATCATATAAGTTCTTCTTTGTTTTGTACAATTGTTCAAAAATATAAATCATATATTTATTTTTTAATTGGTAGAATATCTGGTTGAAAATTAGTATTGGCCCGTCATAATTGATGCCTGCTGAAAATATCAATATTTTATTATAATTTTTAAAGAACTGAAACGGAACCAAATTTTTCTCACATACCTAAAAAATAAGACAGGAAAATAAGTTTTCATTTTTTAAGAACCCAAACTGATATTTTAGTATTTTTTAAAACAGAAAGTTATCAAAACTTAAATTTTAGTATTTCTCGGAAACAAGCAGGAACCGAAACCGTGTATATCATCAAGGTTCCAGACCGTGCAGTTGTATATTATAATAATGAATGATATGATGTAATATGAAATAAAAATTATAATACACAGTACTTATATACTATATGATTTAGTTAAAAATTAGTTCAAGTTCGACCTACATTAGAACATAAGATACTAATTAGAAGAATAAAATATTACTTTAGTACATATTACAACTAAATAAAATACAATATAATCATAGAATGTTAGAGGCACATAGTCTCCACTCATAATCGTTTTTCCTTTAAAAAAAATTACTTTATATAAATTCTGAACTACAATAAATTTCAAAATAATTCATTGAATTCAGAATTAACTAATGAATTACACTATAACAGTGATTCATTCAATTACGAGGTGAACTCAAAATCTACAATAATGCAAAGTTTGTGAGTCAATGAGTCCCCCAATTTTTTAAAATTAAATTTAGTTTAAACGATTAAAAACTTTTTCTACTAAATGTCATCAGATAAAAAAAACACATTACATCAAAAAATCAGTACCTACATTCATCAGTGATAAATAAATCTAGTTAATTTTGCATATTTGTATTTTAATATTTTAAATATATATATATATATTTTTTTAATTATAAGTTACAATTACATATTATTACTATTGGATTTTAAGATTCTGATTTTACAACTCTATATCAATGATGTCTGTTCTTTGATTTTACAGTGATACTAATGCATATCTACGAAAAATTGAATTCATCAGAAAAAAGTGCAACACATCTTAGGCAGATAATTGGATTCTCACAACTATTAAGCAGAGTTAGTTTATTTGCATTATTACATTGCATGTATTATTCTTGTGAATATTTAAAGTGATGTATTGAAATAATTTATAGTTTATGCAAAATAAATATAATTTAAGTGTATAAGGCCGATTCTAGCCTTATAACAGTGTAAATCATTGTAAAGGCAGAAGAGGGAAATTAATTTATGAGAAACTACATTTTAGATTTTAATTTGAAACCTGAAATATTTAAATTTTAATCCATAGGATATAATTATTAACTACGTTACAATATTTTTAACATTAAGTAGTCATGTCTCATAAAGGTAAAGGATAAAATGTGTAGATATAGATATATATATATATATATAATTTTCCCCATCTGCCGAATATTATTCAATTCACATAGATATTAAAAACTTGTATTTAACTTAACCAACATGAACTCATTTTATTAATATAACTTATATACACACATTGCACATTCATTGGGACAATTTATTCAACAATAGTAAAAGAACAAATAAAATAAAAAATGCCAAGCATCCACTTTATAATAGGGGTTTGATTTTGGCTACTTTAATGACATTTTGAGAAAAGTTAAAATTATTATATTTTAAATATATTAAAAATCTAATTTAAAGTTCCTTACTTACAATTAATGTTCCCATGTATAAGTATACTGTTGTTTGTTATTATGAATTAATTAAGTGATTATATAAATATTATAAATCGATAACTTATTATAAGGTAAAACTTTCATGATGTTAAAAATATTTGTTTTGCTCATACGATTTTACTATTATAAAAAACATTTGTATTCTAATGTTTTGTGCACTTCCTTATTTAAATTTGTGAATAATAGTTTATTACCCAATAGTAAAAATTTTTTATTTTACGTATTTGACCCTTTTCATTAACAAATAATGACCCAAGAGAACGGAGTCCCACAAGATTTAGCTTTTTCAATAACACTTTTCCTTATAGCAATCAACGACCTCCGACCATCAAAACTGCAACATCCCAGTAAGATGCAACACATTAGCCGAAGACTTCAATTCTTAGTGTAGGAGTGGCAACTTAGAGACTATATTAAAAAATTAGCTTCTAAATCAAATGAAGTGGTTGTTATCGCAATCATCTATGAAAATTTAAATATGACCTACAGACTCCCAAACCAGTTCAATATCAAACTTAAAAGCCAACAAAAAAATTAATGCATCAGAACACACTAAGTTAGCTCTTTAGCGACTCTCTATGTGCCATTAATAGAATACAAAATAAAACCAACCCAAGTGATTTATCAGTCCTCGTCCAAAATAATTAAGATGAAGCTATATAGTTAACCAAAAACAAATTATATTCGTATGGATCCCAGGACACACCGGTATTATTGGCAACTAAACCGTGGACAAATACGCCAATAGCGTTCCTAACCTCTCATATGATAACTTCAAAAACTCCATAGAAACCTTCATTAAAAAAAAAATGGCATATAATGGAATAACCAGACCACTAAACTAAACCAAATCAGATTTAGGATTGGACACACTAGGATAACTCAAGAATTCTTCATGTCCAAAGATGAACCTCTCATCTGCGATGCTTGAGACACACAGATCACAGTCAAACACATCAAAATAAAATGTCATCTTTACGAACAAATCTTAATTTGACCGAAACTCTTGACGAAATCCTTGGACCAAACCCCGATCAAAACAGAAAAATTCTCAAATTTTTAAAATTAACTAAGACTAACCTCTTAGACAAAATATAATCTTCATTATTAAATTAATTTTTCATAATGTAACCCCCATAAAAAATGTTGAGTAGTATCATAGTATTGTAAATAGCATCTAAGACCTTTAACTAGTGGAAATTGCTGACGAGTTGCATAAACAAATTAATAATAAAAAACAAACAAACAAATTACTAAATCATATGGTTGAGTGTAATAAATTGGTGTCAAAACAAAACTACTTTACCAATAATTTATTTTAATGCGTCTTTTAAAATATATAAATCGTTGATAGATACGAAATTGTTTCCTGACTTCAAAGCTGATTTTAAAACATAACAAAGTGTTTGAAAGACAACTTTCTTCAAAAGTAAACGATCCATCTAAAACAGAGGCCGTTTAACAAATGTTGTGTTGCCAATACTAAAACTGAATTTCACATTCTAAAATCCAATATTCTACACTTGAGTAAACGAAATAAAATACTTATATCAAAACAAATTTTTAACTTATATAACTTTCAAATATTATCATTAAAAATGTAACTAGAAACTAAGAAACGGGGGGCAAAATACGCCCATCATAGACAGTTTTTTTTTTTGCTCAATTTTAAATTTATTCATTGCACGCAAGTAATATTCAAAAAAATATTTTGCCCTTTCAAAATTCTAGTGGGGACAGCTGATCTAAAGCCATAGAACATATTTATTAAAAAAACTAAAATAATTGTCACCTATCACCCTTCATAAATAAACGATTCATATAGCTAGAAAAACAATTTCACACTCTAAGTCATAAGCCATAAGTATTGAGCCGTAACCCTTAGTTAAGACTTACGAAATCAAATTTCTGCAAAGTGAAGTACATTCTATAATTCCCAAAGGAGCATTTTTGTTTCTTTGATATCTATACAAAAAGTTATTATTGTTTTAAGATTCTTAATTTTTAACGTTTACAAACTTTTTGTGTGATTATTAATGATAGGTATCGAAAAAATTCTATATGTGAAAAATATTGTCTTCTGTTTTTGTATCATGCATCATACATTTGTTTTCTCAATTATGACTGTAGCCCGAGTGATTATTTTTCACTCAAACCCGAAAAATATATGTGCGACGAGTTGAATAATTGTTATTGTTTGATTATTTGCCACGAACATATTATTATTTTAATTTTAATTGCAATCTACTTTTGCAAACAATTTAATGTAATTATTCTTTTATAAACTCTATGTGGTCCATTTAAGGCTCTGTGCACACTCATAATATTTGTTTTCATCGAAAAATTACATTTTTGAAAAAAAATATATTTTGACAATTTATATCGTTATTAGTTTTTTAAGTTACATACTTTTTGTTGTGCTAACATACATTTTAATTTCATATTCTAAAACAGAAAATTTTCATGAGTATTTCCATATAGAAAAATTGATTTTCAAACGAATAGTTATTTTCTATAACTTATAGGTGTTTCAAATTCAGATAAGCGGAGTATAAAGTGGCACAGTGGTATTTCGAAAATGTTAGTCCACTTCTTCGCTCATCAAAACTTTTGATAGGAACACTATTTCACTCGTATGAATAATTTTTTAATCATATACAATTTATGGCATAGGTATTTAATTATTTTGTATAAAATAATGAATATATCATACTTGTTACCTACATGGCTACATGTCATACATTTATACCTACACATAAATGCATAAATATAATGATAATATAGTGAATGCAAGTGTTAGCAATAGTTATGACCAAATTATTATTTACTAGTTACTTATTAGTAAGTTATATTGTTGATGAAATGTTATATTTTTTTTTAGCACCTCATACCGATGTTTATTGCAGTCAATAACGACAATATAATTGACATTTTGTTGAAGTATGCGATTATCTAACATACAGTTGTTTTTAATTTTCTTAATTTTCTTCTCACTAAATTTTACAGAATTCTGGTTAGTCTAATATCACCGATTGAAAGTTTGATGCTTGTTGAAAAGAATGGAGATAATTCTACATTACTTAGGCTGAACTGGACGATGTCGACAAGCAAAGCCGCATGGGCTGACTTAAAAGCCATCAAACGAATCATGGATATTATAAAGGAACATATGAAAAAAGTAAATTATTCATTTTAATTATTTTGTAAGAAAATTATAGAATAGATAAAAATTTGATTCAATATTTTACTAATTTAAATAATATTACCTTTTTATTCAGACATTCTGATCATAATGGTATGATGAATTCACAAATAAATGTTCTTAAAGTGTTAAACAAATTTAAGAAAATTATCTTTTTTACGAATAAGTATGGTATATTACCACTAGGTAGCACTATTATGATAGTAATTTTAAACCTACATCATTATATTATAAATCAATGGCTGGTATAAAAGTATACGGTTTTAGCCCATAGGCCACCGCCCTAATTTAAATACCGATATGAAGGATGCATAAAAGTCCATTTATTGTAATTCCTACGATACTATATATTATAGGCATTACAATAAATTATTCTTTAATTCTTTTGATTTGGTATCATTTGGTATCTACTAATCATCAATGTTTATTTTATCATTTCAGTTGTCTATCTGCCCTATAGGATCTACCAACAATTACAGTATATCAATTATAAGCGATTGTTTGCGTTTAATAAAAAATATTCTTCACATACCCAACGAGCAGTACCAAAATACAATATTGTGGATGATTTTTTCAGAACGATTCGACGAGGTATACGATATAATATTATATAATATACTAAATTATTCAAACAAAAGTAAAATAATATTTAAATTAAAAAAATTAAAAATGTTAGTCCCCTTCTGCTGTATTATGGGTGTTGGTACCTCGTCATTGAGTAGGTCTGTGTAATGACTAATTGATATGTTAAATTTGAATCTAATGATATATTATTGTAGGTATTCGATGAAAAAAGATTCTGAGCGGAGGCAGTATATTTTGGCAGTCAGTCAGCAGGCAGCAACCCTATACTTCTAAGGATATTTTTTGTTATATATTTATAATAGTTTAATACAAAATTACTATTTACTTAAATTTTAATTTCAATATCTCATAAAAAAAAATTTTGCTTAAGTTAATGTAGCTCAACTGTTTTTATTAGTATAAATACTAGTACTACAAGGAAAATTATGAAAAACCAAAAAATATCGATTTGTTATCTACAAAATAGTTTTAAAACGTTGACAAAGTTTGAAATTCAAACATTTATAAACACAATTGAAACCACGTACTTTCGATATTGTATGATTTTCTAATGAAAACTTGGGAGGAACAAAGAAATCAAACTAATACGTTTTCAAGATTTTTTACTCATAAATATAAATCAAATCATGCATACATTTAAGTCAAATAAAAACTTAAGAAAGTAAAAAAATTCAAATGTCTATAAATAGACATATAGTTCAAAAATGCCACGAACGAATAACAAAAAAAAAATTCTTTTTGAGTAATGGCATAATAATGGTACCAAATTTTCAAATTATTAAACAGTATTATAAAAACTCAAATTAAACTAATCTTAACATTATCATTATAATAGAGTGTAAAAATATTAACTATTAATTTAAATTGTGTATATATTTTATTTAGATTATTATTGCTTTGATCGCCAACTCTAACCGAGGACATTGGGCAGTACTAATCATCGAACTAATTGCTCTAATTTATAAGAACCAACACGTTGAAGAAATGTCAAAACAAATCATTAAAATGAACGAAACTATAAGGTTTGATAGTTCTGAAGACAATGAAAGCAATACGTCATCATTATATCCAGTAATAAATATTGTATTTTCATTTTAAGATTTGTATCAAGTGACTTACAGTATCTTACTACAGTTTTAACATTTCATTAAATATTTTTAAAACCAATAAATAACCTAGATTATTATAATCATAAAGATAATTTTTAAAATTTTTAGAAAAACGGAAGAAATTCGTCGCCAGAAAATTTATCTGAATTATCAAACGAGGACTGTGATAATGATACACATTTTAAAGTGGTATTTATAAAAAAAAAGAAAATGTTAAATTTCTTATTTTGTGTATAAAAATAAAATAATTGGCTACCCATATAAAATTTGACACCACTTCCTTATTCATGTAAGTTCAAAGCTTAGGAAATTATTAATTAGATGATGAATTTATTTTCAGAATAAAATGAATAAAATGCGCAAAAGCAATTTGATGGAAGGGCAAGACAAGAGTTCCAAAGAATCTATAAAACATAATTTAAACGTACATACTGCAAAAGATGTTAAAATCGAAAATACTATAACTGTATTTGAAGAACTTTCACTATTAACTGGGCTCAACTTAAAAAAGTAAAAATTGTATTTACAATGATTAATAAATAATAGATCTATGTGTTTATATTATAATACGAGCTAATATTAAACTACTACAAGATTACCAACATTTTGATGTACCACAAACAGATTTTTTTATTTTACGTGATACTATATTAGGTATAAAAATTGGTTTATTTTAGGGGAGACGACGAAGAAAAAGGTAATTCTAAAAATTCGAACACAGAATCTAGAAGAAATTCGATCTCAGAAACTAAGAGAAATTCGATCACAAAAGCTAGAAGGAATTCGTGCACTGAAACTAGAAGAAGTTCGAATAGAGAATCTAGAAGAAATTCGCTTGAACAAATTAAACTTGAATTTGAAATGAAATCCTATAAACCCACTTTGGCGAGTGATATTTGTAGAAGAAAAGAGAAATCACGCAAAAAAAAATACACAAAAAAGAATCTCAAAACCAAGTGAGAAATAAGTGATTTTATTATACTTATGATAATGTTTAAATAAATTGTTTATGGGTTTCTCAGGTTGAAGTTACCAAGTTTTCCAATACAGTTCGACGTGCCAAATGAGACATGCATGATATCATACTTTCTCCAGAAATTTACTGTTCGTTTTCTACAAAATGGATTCAATACCTTAGTCGACGAACTTTATAATATACTTACGTCTAATTCACAGCAACACATAGACACTTCACTTTATTTCTGGATATTAACATACTTTTGTAGATTCTGCAAGTTGAACAGCATTGAATTGAAATTAGTCAGGTAAATATTGTGTTTTGTATATTGTTATTTATTTCGATCTAAATTAATATTTAACTAGGTGTATGTAAAAAAAATATATACATTTATTATTTGTGATACCTAGACGAATCGTATCTTTCAAACTGATTTCATTTATTGTTCACGAGGGTCTTAAAATATCTGAACAATTAACCATCGCGAAACTGCAAAAATCTCCTAATATTCATTTGAAAGTCAGACATTTGCATTTGGTATGTTATGCACAGTATCAAGCTATTATACTATTTTTATTTTATTGTTGTCATTCATCAGTTAGTTTTTTTGAAAATATGAATTTATGTTTTTTTTCCATACTGCGAAAAGGCCATCATGGCCATTAAAGAGGTAATAAAAACCATTGAGTTCTATCGCCAAACTGCTGTTGAGTCGCCAATTTACGCAGATCTGATAAAGGATCTTCAGAGTAAGTACAACACATAAAATAACAAAATATGATACATTTCAATAGCGACAAATTTATCAAAATTATATAAATTATAATATTATATAGGTAGGTTTATAATTAGGTAGGATGATGCTATTCGTTTCCGTGTTGAATTGTGTTTGTAAAATATATATTATGCATTATTATTTGTTATGTTACGTTCCTGTATCACATAAATTTTAAGTAAGTAGGCACTTACCTAGTTAGTACTTGGGTAACTGTGTCTTCAACACAAAAAAATCATTTTTGATTTCATAACTACTTATCTACCTAGTTAAAGTTAACCAGTGTTTTCCACACCATCGTTTTATATTAAATCAAATCAATGGAAAAAAAAATCATTTATCAATAAATACACATCTTGTATTCTAACTAAGACCCACTCGCCCACTCATCAACAAAGACAAATTAAATTCTTTAAAATATTTACAACCCATTGTGTTCTCTCTGGACCTACAATACTACATACCTAGTACAATAGTACATACCTACTAAGCCTACATATTTATTATTACCTACCTATGTATACCAAGTAACCAACACAAAATATTAGACAAGTCGTGTATACCTCTACTCGTGTTATTATTTACAACATTTAGTTTTACCTATATTACACCTTTGTAATCGAGATACATCGAAGCTATACCTTAGTAAAAGTATTAGTTTTACAGGATAAATTATTTTTACCCACCCACAGGCCCATACACCTAATTTTATAGGTGGTTCAGTGGTTTATAATAAAGCACTGCCTTAAGTACAGGTACGTCATAGTCGACGCCTAAATGTTTGTGGAATATAGTATGTAAGTATAATAAATTAGGTACACCTATTAATAATTTCAGTTTCACGATGAAATATTATAATTTATAACATACCAATCACTGGTTAATAAATTATTTCAATTATTTATGTACTTCGTGATGACACTTTATGGGATTTGTATTTTACAGTTATTATAGCCCATAGGATAAGTAGGCTAACCTACCTACACACATATATCTCAGTAGTTTCTATAAGCACTAGGTGGCATTGGCGGAGTAGGGTGCTTTGAAACAAGTAAATGTGGTAGGTACCTATTTGTGATCCGATTACCACTGTCGGCCTCTTTCTTAAAGTCAACTCTTATATTGTAATGTAGAACCCTTTCTTAATTTTAGTAATTTTAAAAAGATATATAGATACAATCCCCTGGTTAATTTTGAACCCCGAACCAAAAATAGCAAGCCCACCCTTTGTGCTAGGTATATTAGGCAGAAACAACAATCCAAATTATACATAGAAATTTAGTAGGTACCTAATTTAATGTTTGTATGATACGTAGATTCAGGCAACAACTCTCCAGAATCAATCACTTGGGCAAAAGACCTCAAGTCCTTATTCACATTACTAATACGTTACTATGACAGTGACATACAGATTATCGAATACTTGCATGATTTAATAGTTACAAATCATATGGTATTGTCGTTGTTCGATACCCTTAAGGATTGTTGGAATTTAAACGACAATATTACTTCTTACATCAAAAAGTAAATTGAATACCTAATTTCATACATACCTATTATATGAATATGTAATTGAATTCATTTTGTAAAATTTAAACTAAAAATTGTATTTTACTACCTACCTGTAGATTTGCTGTTCCTGACATAATGTACAAGTACGGAATAGTCCTCCAAAATTACGAAAAAAACAGCGAAATGGTCAACGAATCCGTGTTTACTATGATGCACCACGTAATTACTGAAGTCGAAAACACTACATCACTCTTTCAGCCGATCATTTTGAAAACATTTTTGAAAATTTTCGAAAATAATGATTTTCAGTACAAAGTAAGAACACAATTTTTTCACTTGTACCTACCTACCTAAGAATAGTCATAGGTAGCGTATATTACGTTCCTTAAGGTTCAAGGTACTTTAAATATAAGCACGTGCAGGTAATATCATTCATTTTTGTTTATTTTAGAGGTGGTCTGATTTGATTGAAAATGTTCTAAACAAGTTTCTAAATATACCACAAACAAAGAACTGTTCTGAAAACGCTCTTTGTGGAATTCCGTGTATCTACGAATGAACTTCTAACTTTGAATATTGAAATAAAATTAATTTACTCGAAACTACAGACATAGCACAAAAAAAATCAACAGAACTAGTTATCTAAATACATGCGTTTGTCATTTTTAAAATTATATAATAAATGTGTGTTTAATATTTTAATATAATAATATATATGGGTGTATATAGTATATAGGTACTGTAGTATGTAATATAATAGCTACCTATATAAGTGTTTATGAGTATGTCAAACAATACATAACTATAACATTTAGATACATTAGTATAATATAATATTATAAATTAATAATCAAACTTATCTTTCAAACCATAGGAAGCATTTTTTTTTTACATACTGCTTTAATAGTTAATTATTACAATATGATAGACATTTATTTACATAATATCTACTCCTTAGGTTAGAAAAAAATTTAACGGGCGTAGGTAGATTGTAAATTAAATTCTAAGATATTCTAGAATTAAATAAAAAGTAGGTATCTAACTATACGTTAAAAGATATACGATTTACCTAATAGATAAATACATATTATGGGAAAGAGAATATTATTTAAAACAAATGCCTATTGTAGATTCCCACATTGCCCATAAGGGTCAAAAAAGCCATAAAGCACAGATATATTATAGAAAAATTAGAGGCCTTCAAATGAATTGAAGTTTTTTTCACACAAAAGTCATATAATAAGCTTTTGATGGTTCTAGACATTTTTTTGATGAAAATGATTATTTTTTGAATTTCAATTCTCCATGACTATAGCTATAGACATACTCGTATTTTAAAATGTAGTATTTATTTAACATTTAACTTCTTAAATATTTATTAGATACCTTTCTTCTGAATTTTCTTTTCTTTATACATTAAGTATTAATTTTAAAAAAATATTAATAATCTTTATGTGCCTTGCATTTAGCTTATCTGCCTACTCAATTTCATTTGTATAAATGAAAAAAAATCAATTATTAAAGTTTTCAGCCTTTTTTTTAAAATCTGAGAGTATATAGGTATCTCCTCAGTATTTTGCTAACAATTCTGATTGTGATTGACTAATGGAAAATTGTATTGCATTCCACATAAAATCCAGAAACGATGAGAAAAATAAACAGGATGGATAATAAAGCAGGGAACTTAAACTAAAAAATTCAAACCAAGGTGAGATGTTTGAGAATTAAACAATACCTACCAAGTTAATATAATATATGTAATAAATAATAATATATCATGACACATCTAAAGAAGTCATAAATCTGCTAGAGCCAACAAAGTTTGTTACTGGGAAGGGAAATAATTCTGACGTATTTGGATAGCTACGATTCTATGGCCCACCAATTAAAGAAAAAATTTAAAATTGAAAGTCGGTGGTGAGGATTCTAAAAAAAGTGGATGTAAAATATGTTTTATACAAGTATAAATGTCAGCAACTTTTTTTAAATTGCCTATCAACTAAATGGCCAGCAAAGCAACCATGAAAAAGTTCATAAAAACTAATCAAATTATAGCTTGGATCACAGATCAAAAATAATAGTGAAAGTATAAGTGGCTATCATGTTTGTATCACAATGTTTCTGGAAATGAGAAATGTAGAATAAATAAATAGCTCTCTTAGTTGTTATATGTAAACAAATTACCATTTATTTTATGTATTAATTAATACATAATATATATGTACCTATATACTATTTTACATTAAATGTGCATCCATGTTGAGTTGATAATTTAATGTTTATATATTTTACATGTATTTAAAATTAGTATTTAGAATGTTTAGATTGATCTTATAATAGTATTATATTCTTTTCTTTTCTTTTCTTTTCTTTCAGTTAGGTAATTATTAATTATTATGATGTCATTATAGTTAAAATTATATGTTTGTCCCATAATAATATATAAATTTGAGTAACACATGACCTCCTAGATATCCACTTAAAACCAATATATATTACCCACATTTTTTAGTTCCAATACGATTAATAAAAATCCATTACCATCAAATGTCACAAAGTTAAGTATCTTATATCTACATACATTTCAAAGTTTGTTAAAGACAAATTGTAATTTTAATAGTACCTACTTATAGCCTATAGGTAGGTAGTAGTAAAATTATGTTGATAACACATCTAAAATCTAAATTGATTATTTGTTAAATATTAAATATAAAAATAAGTACTTGAGTTTCATCAATTAGTTTATGATACACATCAATTACAAATATAGTTATTATTAGAGTAAGGTTTAGCATATACTTTTTTAAATAATAAAAAAAAATAGAAAGATAACTCTAACACTTACCCACAAATATATATCATTTCATTTCCGTTCAACTGCACATAATGAACTTTTATTAAATTACATTTTGCTTCTTTTCAATAAATTTCATTTTTTTTTATAATTAAATTTAAATTACCTACCAATTTGTTACAATTGTTCAAATTGTATTTATGGTAACATACAATTTTATAAAATCGCAACAGGGTCCAATTTATAGCAATTCCAATGAGTTATGGTATTAACTAATAACTAACGACCCAATTGGAATTAGATACATGTTTTTGCATTTTGCTATATTTTCGCTAATAAAATTATTGATAGTTTTTCCAGTTAGTCATTCTTCGTTCTAGTCATTGAGAGTTTATAAAAAATCCTACTGTTAACATTTATGCCAAACTTTTTTTTTCACGACAAAAGTAATTTTTTAATAAAATATAATAAATAGCTTTAATTTTTGTTAAAAATGTTTTTTTTATACCTTAAGTGCTTTCTTATATAATTTATATTGTTTTAAATTCTGAACCCTAGTTATTATTAATTATTTCATAAATTCAACAAAATATTTAAAATATATTTACAAGTAAAAAGTAATCAAATTAAGTTAAAATATTAAAATTACATTTTGAACTTTGAGTATAGGTAGGAAAGTATAGATTTAACGGAGGTAGCTTTGATAAGAATATTTTTTTTTTAACCTATGTACCTAATATTATACTATATTATATAATGTTTAAAATAACATCACTTATATAACATAGGTAATCAAATAATATTATAAAATGATATGCATGTCTTTTAACAAAAAATATTTTTCTGTATAAGTTTTTAACATAACATTATGTAAGGAAATATTCTTATATGTACATCCATAATTTAGAATAATGTGTAGGACTAATAATAGTATTAATTACTTAGATTGACCATATTAATATTGAATATTTTAATGGTATAATACATTAGTACAGTACTATAGTACATATTTTAAGGAATCAATCAAGTATTTTCAAATTAGATGTTTTATTATATTTTATTGAATCGTAATATATTAAAATATCAAAATTGGACTCCATCATTAACTATTTCTATCTATAACAATTTTTTATTTCTAGTGTCATGACTAATGAAGAATTTATTGACATTAATGCAGTTATAAATTTAGGCATTGATAAACCATCAATATTTCAGACATTTATTCAATCCATTTCAAAATATAAAATGTGCAAGGTTTAGTTATTGGCTAAAAAATATTTTCAAACATTTTCAATCCCTTGAAAATAAAATTAACAAACCTAAGTTTAGACCATAATCATATGCCTAATTGTAAAACAAATATTTATGTCAACATTTGTGAAGCAGGTTAGGTTAGGTGAAATAGTCTTGAAAAAATAAATATAAATAAAAAATAATTTAATTAATATTTAAAAACATATTAAATTGTTCTCAAATCATCATTAAAAAGGTTATATTAAACCTTTAAAAAGCTTACTATAAACTATGGATCCCTAACATAGACATTAAAACTTTTTTATCTGTCGAAAATCGCATATAGATTATAGAATAATTTTAATTGTTGTTTTAAATTAGTCAGTTTTATTGAACAATTATAAATTATAATATTAACTAATTTCAAGTACACTTTGAGTAGGTACTTAATATGAAAGTTAAATTAAAAACCACTTATTACATAATTGTGTTAGCTGTTAACATTGGATCCTATCATAATTTTTACAGACAATTAAATAAATACATAATAATTACTGACTTAAAAATAAATAAATAAATACATACTTATAAATCATAAATAAATAATTAAATATGTTGCCATAGATTTTCGGCTTGTAGTAATGTTAAAATCTATTGATAATCTAAATAATAATTATTAATACTTGAATCAAGCATTTCACATTTTAAATATTTTATTTGTTACTGTTATAATTAAATATAAAATTTTATAAATAATTGTGTGTACCATAATATACTAAAATAAGAATAAAAAAATAATTATAAAAACGGTAAATACAAATCATATTCTTTTGTTTAACTACTTAAATGCTATCTAACATAAAAATGTACAAACTATATAAATGTATTGTTAATCATCATAAATTTAAGATAAAAAATATAATTACTCATTATATCATTATATCTAATTGAATTAATTCAACATTCTTAGTTCGGAAAAAGGTAACACTGATTTAATATACTCATATAAGTGAATAAAATAATAATTCATGGTGAAATATCACATAAAAATTAAATTTTTACAAATTAATGCATTTAATAATACATTATGTTTATAATTAATATGAAGACGATAGGTACTGAAGTGACAAAGAAACAAAAAATGTAGATTAATAATTGAATACTATTCATCAAAATTTCAAACACTAAATTTAGACATATACCTAATTAGGTAAAATAAATTTAAATAAATATACCTAACGTTCTTGACTAAATATACATATTTTAATACCTAATAAAATGTATTTAAAAAAAATAACCCACAACTGGTCTAAGACATAAAAAACATAAATATTAATAAATCCTTGCGACTGGGTAAGGTTTAACACATTGACTGCCGTGTGGTCACAAGCGATCATCTGTAATTCTCAAATTGTATACTTTTGAGACTGTCAGCACCCATAGTTGATCATTATACTACCATGCAATGACTGCCAGTGACCGTAAATTAATATAGTTTTTTATTATTAACTTTTCCGTGGCATTTATAATGCACTAAAAAAAGTGAGTTTGTGGTGGGAATCATTACAATTTTCTTATGTTATAAATTTTTTTTAAATTTTATACATTTAATGTATTTTCAAATACAATAATGGAATGACACTAAAAATAAGCTTGGTGTACCGATAATACATATCAAGTGGCTGCCAGCAAGCACATGGCAGGCAATGTGTTAAAATATTTTACTTTTTTCAATTCATATTGAGTTGGGAATGTTAGGAATAAAAATACATACCTAGTATCAAAGATTTATAAGTGTGTTTTATACAATAAAATGGGTTGTGAAACATTGTATATATTCAACTTGTAGGTAAAGTGTTATTAACATTTTATTACCTACATATTAAATATATGGAACACGAAACAACAAGGCATGGTATGAACCTGATATAGTTATCATAAAAACTATCACTCTTAAAAGGTCGGCAAATGTCCAATTTTTAATAGGTCTAATATGGGCAATTTTAATGACATATTGAGAAAAATTTAAATGTTTAATTATAATATGATGAATTATCATATTATAATATTTTAAGTTTTAGTACTAATTAAAAATAACTAACAAGTAGTCCTGTGTTAGTACCATTGTTGGCATTATTTCGTACATTTAATTATAAAAGAATGGTTTTAGGCGCAAAAAACAAAAACTTATGCTAATCATAGTTCTGAAACCAAATACATACACAGTAAAGAAGACAAAATTTCCTGTATCATGTATATTTGCTTTTTCTCAAAAATGACTGTAAAATGAGTGGTTATTTTTTGACGCAAGGTGTTTTTCACAAACAATATAATATCATGCAGTGTCCTCTTCAGAAAAAAGTAATAGATATAATATATCTATAGAAAAACTAATTTTCTTCAGTCAATTTTTAATTATAAATTTACTTTATCAACAATTCTCTATAGGCTCCATGAAAATATTTTGTACACTTTGAATCAGTTAACAGAACACAATACTAAAATTATTCATAAACTAATAAGAATAAAAAAAAAAACAATTATTCCTTAAAAGTAGGTTGGAACTTTTAGTACAGAGTAAAACATTTAAAAACCATAAGTGAGTTTCTCATAAAATAATTTTAACTTATGAATCAATATACATTTAAAATGTGATGTATTATATATTATATAAATATATATTTTCAAGTTCATATTTACAATAAATAATTTACTAAAAAAGTATATTTGGAAATACATCATAGGTAAGTAAACAATTAATAAATGTTTATTAATCTATGTAACAGACGTTATTATAACAATAATATTTAAGAGAATAATAAATTATCAATACTTATAGTAAACTGTGAAGTGTCTTATGCAAAACCACGCTTATTGGATAATTACAAACATTATTATCTAAATAAAGACTTATTAAGTTATTTTATATTCTAGAATGATTATTTTTAATTTAAAAAATAGTATTAAATCAAAAAATTTAATTTAGTTTTAGATTTCCCCGCAATAATTGTAAATAGACATTTCAATACTTAAAAATGTTATAAGAATAAATTCACAATGACTAGAAATTGTACAGTTGAATTTACTCAAATAATAATAACTGTAATATAATACCAAAAACAATGAAGCTTGGGGAACACACACGAATGTATTTAAATTTTATATTTAATAAATATTATTTTGTTCAAATTTAAAAGTTTAAAATATTATACACAGTATTTATCTATAGTAAAAAGTAAAACCATTTAAATTCTATTGTATTAAAAAAAGATTTGTGCAAAATTGGACATAATACATTTTGGCACAGTTTCATTTCCTATGACAATTAAATAAACACTTATTTTAGATTTCTCCTACGTTTTTTATCTGTAATATCATTTGAGTCAGTAAATGATATTTTAGAACTACCAGATTTCTTATTAGATTCAACAGAACTGGTATCATTTCGTAACCTTTTCACAGCTTGACTGACACGTTTACTCATAGCAGTATTTGTACTGCTCAATTGGGGAAGAGTTTTGACAAATGAATCTAATGTTGTTTGAGTCTAAAACAAAAACAAACACATTTTAACCAAATAAAAGATGACATTTTCAAATGTAAAATACATAATATTAAATTACAATGCTTAAATCATATAAAATATAAATATATTAAATTCTTATTATGACAAACGTCATTATCTCAAAATGTTTGTTATCTCAAACTACTATGAAATCCCCTTGAAGCTATCATTACTTTCAAGACCGTGTTGCTCTTGATAACTTAATATAAAACTAATCATTTTTCATCATCTTGAAAATATATCTCACAATTAGTCGATTATATCAATAATAATAGATCATTTTTTACAAACATCAGAATGTCTGATTAAGCTCAGAGAAGTATAGCACTAATTAAAACCATAGACTATTTATTCAATTGCATCATAAAAGCCAATTTTAAAGACAATGATATAATTCCAATAAATAACTCAAATATTCTTGATTATAAATGGAATTTTGTTGCCAATCTTAATTTTTTTATTAGTATTAGTATTTCTAATATTTCAAACACTCAAATTAATTTACTAATTTTTTCAATTATTTTTAAATTTTCAATAACACTCAATTATCTTTTAACTTTTTTCTGTTCTCCTTGAGATTTGACATAACAAGAATTTACCCTAAATAAGAATATTTAATAAACTTACTGTCCGTTCAGAAACTTTTTTTAACACTGGAGCTAATTTGCTTTTCGTTTTAGAAACATCCCAATCAAAATTAGTTTGAGCAAATTCAACAATTGAGTCAATTTGGGGTGTACCCCAACTAAAGCTTTGATTTGAATCATTTACAATTGGGTGGAGATATGCATTAATAACAGCTTTATTAGGAAAATCTAAATTAAAATATTTGATTTTAGTACAATTATAACTTTTTTAATAATATTAAACATATAGATTTACCATTTCCAATTTTAGTTGATTTTAATTTTTTTATAAATGGTATATCACAGTATACTTCAGCTTTTGAGTTGGCAATCTCCTTAATTTTAAGTAATTTTTCTTCAAGGCCCATATTTTTAGTCTCGGTTTCAAAAAAAGATAAAATTTCAATAGCAGATACAGGACCAATCCCATCAATACCATTTGTGTAATCACTTCCCACAAGAAATGCTAATTGAATAAAACTATTTCGAGACAAAGCTAAAATAAATTAAAACACATTTAAATATAACATTTTATATTACATAATGAATATTATATACAAAGATATATTACCAAATTGTTGTTTAATATCGATACTTTTGAATTGTTTAACATATTTTTGGCTGTCAAAAAAATCTTTATAAACAACATTAGCACCAAACAACCATACATCACTATCATCTGTCACAGTACCTTCTGTTCGTCCCATTTTTTCTAAAAAAACACATTGTGCTTCTGCTTCCATTGGTGCTGTTATATATGGTATACCAAACAACTTCAAGAGACCCTACAAATAAGAACGTATTTATTTATAATTATTTGAAATAAAATTATATTATTTAATAAGTGCCTAAAACCAAACAAATGTATAACATAGAACATTAAAATGTATAAGTTTATAACCATAAAGTAAAACATAAACAAAATTCTACAATCTCTTTAAAGAACATCATTATAAAATATTGTTGGTACATTTGCATTAGTATATAATTGTAATCAATATGTACAATATAAAAATAATATTGTTAATTCATTACATTAATTTTCCTTATTTTATGTAACTAACAAAAATAATATGATAAAATAATTGTGTTTATGATTAACATATTTTATTACAAAGTAAAAAACAACAATATTCTAAAAGCTTCTTCAATTTCAGTTTCTCAAAAAATATCAATAATTTGTTTAATCAATTTGTTGTACAAAAAAAACTAGTTACTTAATTACTGACAAACATTACCTTTATTTCTGATGTAATTTTTTGTGTTACAGAAGAAGCCATTCGATCAGATGTTCTTTGTAAACTAGCCAAATCATTTTGACGCTTAACTAATGTATCCTAAAAAAACAATTATTAATTATTTTTTATATATTAAACTGTAATATAAGTACTTGTATGGACTGATAATATTGTTCATTCATAGAACTTGTTGGATTGTCAGGTTCGGGCCGTTTTGTAGATATTTTATTTAATTTTGTTGGAGAATTAAATTTTTCTCTAATTACTAATTATAAAACATAAATTATCAAATATGTAGAATAATATAATATTGAATAGTTTTAGAACATATAGGCAAATAAATTATAAATCATAATTTGCAATACAAATTATTACCATTTTTTGTTGAATTTATTCCTTTGAATTCATTTTTAGCAACTATTGGAACATCGGACTCTTTTTTAGAACTTTGATTGACTTTTTGTTTGTTTTGATTGTCGACAACTGTTTGAATATAAATCAGTTAATTAGTTGTACAAAAATATATAGCATAAAAAAATATATTGTGAAATAGTAAATTGAGCAAATAACAAATAAAAAAACTGTTTAATAATATTTCTTGAAGAAATAGAAATAATATAATAAAATATTGAACAGTTTTCAAAAATAGGCCAATTAATTATGAATCATAAGTTACAAATTTGCAATAAAGTTTATTACCTTTTTTTGTTGAATTCATTTCTTTAAATTCATTTTTAGCAACTATTGGAATATCTGACTCTTTTTTAAAACTTTGATTGACTTTTTGTTTGTTTTGATTCTCTATAACAGTTTAAGGTATAAGTCAGTAAATTAGTTACACAAAAATACATTGCATGATAAAAATCTATTTTAATATCATAAACTATGCAAATGAAAAATAATTTGTAATTTAATCCTAATTATTTTAGGAACAGAAATAACAAAACTTATTTAAGCCTTATAAAATTATATTATACTCAAATTTAACATATTTGTATGTAATTTTAAATTCAATATAAATGTGTGAAAACTTATACATCATATTTTTTTCCAGTGGGCTAATGCTTAGGCTTTACTTAGAAATACAGAGCGATTCATTTAAAAGGGTATACTAATTATCGCAAAAAGTATTAACTTTTTTTAATTTTTGAAAACTTTTAGATTAATGCTTTTCTAAAACTGTATAGGTAATATTTAAATTTTTTTCTCCTTTATATTTATTGGTGAAACCACTATCAACTTTTGATTTTCAAATGGAAACATATAATAAAAAGATCAAAAATTAATGGAACCATTTTATTTATGAATATTAGCATAAAATTTTTTATTTTTTGTTATGTTGTTTGCAAGATACAGCTTCTCAGAGTTTGGTGGTTTAAAGAGGTCTTGATTATACTATTTATTCATTTGTAAAGACCAAAATTTGATACCGTTCAACCCAAGGTAATGATTAATAAGTGATAACTATTGCACTTTGAACCCAAATCATTTATTAGTCTATCAACTAATTAGACATACTGAAGTATGACGAATGATTAGTAGAGAACTGGTTATTTGGATAACTGGATATTTGTATCACTATCGACTTAAGCCACCAAACATTGAAGAACTGTATCTAAAAAACTAAATAACGAAAAATAAAAATTGTAGGCGAAATTCATTCAAAAAAATAATAATTTTATCAATTTATGACCTTTAATTTTGTTATAATATAATATTATTATGTTCCTATTTAAAAATCAAAAGTTGATAGTAGTTTTACCAATAAATGTAAGGGTAAAATAATTTTTAATACTATACAGTTTTAGAAAAGCATACATCTAAGTTTAAAAAAAAATAAACAAAAAATTAATACTTTTTGAAAAAATTAATGTATTCTCTCAAATGGATCACCCTGTATACATGAACAACATATTATTGTAAGTTATAGAACTTAATATCCACTATAAATCCATTTTTAATTATTGTTAGCGATACTTTTAGACAAATTTACACCAACCTTGTAATATTATATTATCATCTTCAGATAAGCTTTCCTCGGGTGAAAAATTAACAGAATTTTCAGAAAAAGAGCCATTTGAATTGTCGGATTCAATTGAGGATGAAACATTACTAAACATGTTAAATTCTTGTGTTTTCATAGATTCTGATGCGAAATATATTGACTCATTGATATTTTGTTGATCCACAATATTATTTTTTTTATTAGATACATTATTTTCATTTCCTAGAAATGAAGAAGATTTGCTTGTAGATGGAATATCTTGATGATTAATAATTGGATCCTTGTTTTCCAATTTTGTTTGACTAGGTTCATCTAATATAAAATAATACAAAATTAAAATTAGTTGACAGTGGTATATTTAAAGTAAGATGTTGTAGCCATTTAAATCTTAAATTATGCTTTGTTATTTCTTTGTGTGATTTTAAGTTTGTTAAATAAGTCTGTTTTAAATTACAGGTATTTTAAAGATAAGGGAAGTCTTGAAAAGAGGAATCTTAAAATAAAAAATAATAAATGAATTAAAACAAAATATACTATAAATGTGTACCTTTAGTATGTGAAACCCATGACAGATAATCTTCTTCGTTAAAATTATCTACATTTTCATTTGACACATTATCTTCTGTGATAAAAATACTTCTGGAAGAATATTTTTTGGTCGGAACTTTGTTATTTTTTATAGTTACATCTTCTTCCATATCTGATGTTAATACTTCTGAACTGCTACTAAAACCTATATCAGGTTGAGGATATTTTATATTTGGTGACTCAAATTCACCTACAACAATTAATTCCAAGATGAAAATGTAATTGTATTTTTAATAGTATAGTATTTTATTATAAAAGATTACTTGATCGTCTTTTACTAGCTATTTTATTCTCATTGAAGATAAGCCAAGCTAATCTATCTTCCTCGAGGGATTCATCACCAGCAAGTGCTTTAAAAATATCTTCATCAATGTCTATAAAATAAATATATTTAACAATTAACAAGTATTAATTTCAAGAGTGTACAATTTCTAAAGCATATTATAACAATTTTGCTTAAAAGGATGTCAGCTCACTGTTTGTTTTCTCTCTGGCCCACGCACTAGCAAATTCATATTAAGCAGAATCAATACTGTGTTATTACTTTTAATATTAGAGTAAATTCACCTATTATCAAACACTAAGTTAAAACATTAAATCTGTCCCTATGTTGGCTATTTACTGGTATTTTAATTTTCATGTAAGTTATGAGCATGTAAATTATCATGGTGAAGTAATATTCTTAACTTGAAGTTTAATAATAGGGAATTCACTCTAATAATCAAAGTAATAACACAGGGTTGGTTTTGCTAAACATAAATATCTATGTTGCACATAAACTGGAAAGAAAAACAAAAAGTGAGTTGGCCGCTGACATCTATTTAAGAAAACATGGTTGTGTAATCTCTATCTTAGAAATGTATAAAATAAGTAGAATTCAGTTTGTGTTGTTAGTTTTAATATTACAGTCAATTTACACTCAATTAATTTGAAAGTAAGAAATTATATGTGTTTTCTCGTTTTTTCCTATTTTTTATTTCAAAGCAGAATATTTAACATACTTTAATAGTTTTAACTTGGCTTAAAATTAGAGTATAATAATAAAAAAAATAATTAAAAAAACAGAAGAGACAACATATTATATAATATACTAACCATTAAATTACATAAACGGTTAGTTAACTGTTGAATTAAAACTCACAACTTGGGATAGATTCTACTGAATATAAATTTGCTATAAGTATTATAAGTTTGTAAAACAAAACACCGCAATGTTACATCATGTGGCCATCGCATTGTCTTAACAAATTAACAAATTGAAATGCATACCTTCTGTTAAAGTAGGTGATCCAATAGTATCAGTAGTAAAAATCTTTTGGCTTGTATTTTTCGATTCAGTTTTAAAACTTTTTTCAACATTTGAAGTTTTTGTCTTTTTAGGCATTTCAATATTTTCTGAATTACTTGTTTTGGCTGATTTGTTAATACCTAGATTAACAAAAATTATATTATGGTAAAGTATCTACTAATTTAGTTTGAATTATATTTTGGTGTTGTTAATGTTAATAGTTAAGACAATCTCCATGTTAATATTCGATAACCCCGACATTATGGGCTTATTTCTGTTTTTAGCTGGTAATGGAACATTAATGACTATGAAACTATTGATTAACAGCTTTACACAAACGACTTTAATTGGATGCTCTGAACTAAGATTCTCTGAAAAAAAGAGATCGATTCTATTGAATATTCAACTATCTTAAAATGGAAATGAAATATGTTTAAAGCAAGTTTTACTCCAAACCAGAATTGTTATTGTTAAAAATACTATAGTAATAAACCGATACATGAAAATAACAAAAAGAAATATATTTAATACAATGTAAGTAGGACACAAGAAATTATAATTAATCTAAACTTTACTAATGTCAACAAAAAATAGGTTTAATATATAAAATTGTATGTGAAAACAAAGAGAATAGTCTTTTTGATTTTAGAGATAATATTAAAACCCTAGCATAACATTTCTTCATCATTACATTTTACAGCTACAGTTTTGAATTGCCATATTGATTGAGGGAATATAGACTCATTTCATTGTTGTTTTTTTACAAATTATACAGTTGGGTTAAAAGGGTTTTAATTTAACAAAGTCTAATTACCAGAATCACAGTACCCAAGTCATCAATTAAACCTTTTGTAATAATAAAATGCTACATTCAACCCCTTCATAATATCTGTCTACTATTTTAGTCACATACCAGACTCATAATAAAAAACGGTATCATGATCAGAATCAATGTTTTGACTGAATTCATCAATATTATTAATAGTTCCACTGTCATTGTTCAAAAACATTTCTAATTCATTAAGTGTCATTTCATGCTTCGATTTTTGTTGATTTTTTTTTTCTGTCCTTTTTTTTTGATCTTCTGAAAACCCATTTAAAAGGTCACCAATTTGCATAGATGAAAATGCCTGAAATCAAATTTTGGAATTTAAAGCTTTATACAATGATGTTTTTAGATATTTTGATTAAAACTTTCAGCAAATTTATATTATACATACATTTAATTTCTTTGGAGAACTTGTTTCCTTGTCCTTTGCAATGTTTGCATACAAACAATCGTGGTTCTGATTTTCTACTGCCAATAGTAGAATATTTTCATTTTTTTCCTTTGACAAATTCAAGTATGTCCGATCTTTTTCTTTTATAGGTATTTTAGTTTTTTCTATTTCACTATAAAACACATTTTTAAATATTTTAACTCTCGTTTGATTTAAAAATAAAAATATATTGTTATTCACTTAAAAACAAAATTACTTCATTTAACTAAATACATTTTAAATAAAAATCAATTTACATAGGTTCTGCCAATTTTGGTAGCTCAAACAAATCGATTTCGGCTCCTTTATTCAAACTGCTAACAGTTTTTGAGATCACTTCATCTTCAGTCAATGCATTTTGAGCATTCATAACAGTTTTTAAGGCAGCCTGTTCTAACATATTCTTCAGTAATTTTTCTTTGGTCTTTCCAGTTGATTTTTTGGCGCGGTTTTTTTGAGCTTGTCTTTGAGCCTTAAATGAATATTTATAGACAAATTAATACTCTTTTAACATAATAAGACAACTAAGATAACTTTTACAAATATAATATATGTTAAAAAGTATGTATCCTTATAAATATGACTGAACAAAAATGGAAAATAAACAAATATCTAAAGAAAATTTCAGACACAGTATTTATTATCTCTATTTGACAAGTATGACAAATACTCAATTTAGTAAATTTGCATTTTTAGTTATAGTATTAGAGTACAACCTATTATCAAACTTAAAATAAGGAAAATTATCTATGTTTTTCCAATATTTCAATTTTTATGTAAGTTATGAGTAAGTAAATTACTACAATTCTTCATTTAGTGGCAAAAAATTGAAAAATTGTAAAACAACTAACATACTAACATTCTACTGATCACAAATTCTCTATGGGTTGGAGAGAGAAAACAAATAGTGCATAAACATCCTCTCAAAATGTTATATTCAAGCACCCGTTTAAACTAAGAAAACATAAATTTAAAATAGAAAAAATAATACCTATTTTATATTATTATAAAATTAATTTAATTTTAAAACCCTTATATTGTATGCATTTATAGCAAATTCAATTTGTAAATTACCAAAAAAAAAGGTAAAACATATTACTCATTAATCATTAATTTAAATATGCTTAAATATATGCACAAATAAGCTAAAATGTATTCAACAAATAACAATTATCCACAAAAAAAAAACACTTTTTTCTTCATAAATCATAATCATAAACATTTAATAAATAAAACCAATGGTCTGTATCTTGAGATCTGAATCAATTTTCTAATACGTACAGATAACTAAATAGTAAAAATAATATAAGATTTGTAACTGAGAGACATATCTAGGAAATTCATAAAAACCTTAATCAATTTATTTCAATATTAATCAAAAAATAGAACACCATAATTCAGATAACAATTTTTTTATATAGACTGCAGTTTTTTTAATTCTTTGAAAATGTCTAAAAAGCACCTAAATTTGCATTAAAATATGAAATATGCAGTTAAAATTGTAAAATAAGTCTTTACTAGACTATGAGATTAGAATATGAGCAACCTGAATAAATAAGCTTCTGCACACAAATCTGTACTCGAATGATTACAAATTTATATGTATTGTCTACAAATTATATAAGTACAACAAATATGAATTATGAATTTATTTGACAAGCAAGTGTCTTATTGTTACAATAGTTATTAATTATTATACTATTTCAAATTATCAAAATATTTTATCTCAACTCAATTTAATAATATAATATTAATTTTCTATTTGTATTGTTATACAGTGAAACTTCTACATAACAAAGTAGAATAGGCAACAAAAAAAAAATTGTAATATGGAGGAATTCATTAAATAAAATTACGTATTTTTTACAGCTTTTTTTTAAAATGTAATTAATTAATTAATTAATTATGTATGTATGTATGTACTTCAATATCATATGTGTTACGTACAAAAAAACAACATCAAATATTATATTACAAATTAATTTAGTTTTTAATCTCAAAATTTTAAAAAAAATAATTAGAATTATGTATAAAAAAAAAATCATAATAGTTTAATTTAATTTTTAACCTTAAATGTAATTTAAAAGAAATAATCAGTGAGTTTTGTTTGCTTATTATTTTAATAAATTGTACTTTTTTTGTAAAAAGTTTCTATATCATAAGGTTTTCAAAAAATTTCATCGCAAACATTTGCTTGTTGTCTAAAACCATTTTTTACCACAGATAAAGCGCTTAATAAGTCTTCTTCTGTAACTTTAGAAGTTTGTTATGTGGAAGTTTCACTGTTCATTAATAATTAATTAGAAGGTATCAAAAATATTATGGAAATAAATTAGGATATGTACATTTCTTTTTTATATCTTTTTTTGAGAGTTAATAGTTACTAAGTTCATCAATGTTTGTTATATCATAAATGGTAAGTAAGTGGTTTAGTATACCATAATATTTAGGAGTTATAGTATATAATAGATATTATGATTTATAAAAACATAACTAAAAGATCATTACATTTGGATTTCACTACACGAAATCTCTAGACAATCAGCAAGCACTGACAATACATAAATGTATTATTTTTACATTACTTCACATTTCAATACACATTATTACATTAATATCTAACTTTTGAATAATAGGTACAAAAAATTGATACCTCTAACTTCAGTAATTTTCCTAAATTAACTATTTACAGTTTTCAGAAACATTTATATTTTTTGAAATAATAACGGTTTATTAATGATAAAAGAATCACTTGGTAAAGGAATTTGTTTAACAGAACTAAATAAATTTAGTTCTTAAAAATATTTTATTAAATATAAATTTCACTGTATAATATTAATTACTTATTCCCATGATATGATCAATAACTGTTGTTTGATCAATGAAGCTTAAAAGGATACAAGTAAAAATAATTTGGTTTAATTATCTTTTTTTTTATAGTTTATTTTATTTTATTAACCGAATAAATGTATTTTAAACAATTATAAATAAATCCTATCATTGTGAAATATTACATAACAATTTCTATTTATATAATTTATAGACATATAATTTAAACTATGTATGTACTTTATAATATTATGCTAGTACAGGAGCGCCGAAACCCATATTGATGTAGGGCGACTGCCCTACATATTGAAGTGGGTGGGTGGGTCGGGGGTGTGTGGATAGCAGCCGGTAAACCTAACCAAATATTTTATTTATCTTATTAAAAATACATTACATAATTATAGTACAAAACTTTGAATAGGGGAACATTTAAAAATACATGAATTGTTTATAAATACCTTTATACCCCTGTAGATTTCAAGTACTACATATTTGTTATAATTTTTTTGTCTGCTGTAACGCATACTGCAGTTCTATAAACTTTTTGTATTAAGAATATATCTATTTAATAACTGCCTCCTAAAATGCAACTAAGAAATAATAATTAACCTAAATAAATATTTTGGAAAGGTGGGTGGGTGGGTATGTTGTTAAATATGATTTGCCCTATATATATTTGTATAGTTCGGCGCCCCTGTGCTTGTATAATACTTAGGTACTTTTATAAATGTATAGGAATAATGATGTATGATATTCTTACAGTTACAATTGGAAATATGTGAACACAACTTATGATTTGTAAGTGTATAAGAAAAAATATATTTTTTTATGTTTTATTTCTAGTAGGTATGCATTAATTAAAGCAAGCATGAATAGGAAAATTTATTGACATTTCTTCTAGTTTTGATTATAATCAGATGGTTTTTTACAAATTGTATTGTATTAAAGTAGCACACTCATGAAACAATACCAATGCTGATGCATGGTAATTAAGGACTAATTATAGCAAAAATAAATTACTATGCATTTCAAACGGTTATTAGTCAAGAAAATGTATTTTTGTTCCCACAGAATCTGTAACAAGTTAACATAATATAACAATTTTCCCATGGATTCTCAAAAATGATTGTGGTCATCAAAACTAAAAACAGAAACAACCAATGATATCTACTCTATTTTTGTTTAGTACCTAACTGTTAAATAACTAGAAAATAATGTGAGAAAATAATAATAATTGATGCATTTTTGTTATTTTATCACAAATACTCCAAAATAATGTCATAAATTAAATTTATCTACTTAAAACAACAGCGCCTTTAATGAAATACATTTTTTTTAATTTTATTTAACTCTATGAATATAAATAATATAAACAGTAGAATAAAGTAGCATTTTTCATTCAAAATCAATGGCATAGTAAAATGTTAATAATATCAAAAATAACCCACTTTAGAAAACTAGGATCAATTAATGTTTAGACATTTTAATGTATATTTATTTTAATTAAAACTATAAAATAATTCTTTGATATTTTTTAAGTTCCTATAAAATAAAGGTAAAATAGTTACCTAGTTAGTTTAAATAAAATTAATTTTCAAAATTGTTGATAGCATTTTAAAATATACAACTACTTTATTATACTTTGTAATAGCCAATGGCAATACCAATATTCAATTTCTATAGTGTAATTTGTTCAACAAATTTATTTGGATTAATAAAATATATGGTTACACATAATTAATCAACACTTAAATTATATACTTACAATAGTTATTTTTTTAAGCTCTGGTACACCGCCATCAAATACAAATATTGGTTTAATACCATAGAACAATAATTTACATATTCTATGAAACATTACAATTAAATGTCCATTTGTCGTAGCACCATGTTCATTTTCTTGAACACCTTTAATTATTTGGTACAGCCATATTGAAACATCTGATTGATAATATATTTAAGGAAATTCATTTAAATACCATGTCTTTAATGCTTTTAAACATGGCATAAATGTATTTCAAAAGCTTATTAAAATTCTTAACAATGTAAAATTTAATAAATAAAAACCTTTTGTTTATTTTCCATATTATGTCTACATAGTTGTGCTTTCTAGCAGTTACCAAAGAAAAACATATCTATAGGTGAAACTTTTGAAATAACACCCGAGTAAAAATAATAAAACACAATTTTTATTAAATAATAATGTAGAAAAAGAAAATAGTTAACATTTGTATGAACCCATGATACTTTGATAAATGAGCTGTTGAATATATAATATATATATTATTTATAAAATCTTAATACCAACAAAATTTGATTATGGAATACAATTATTTAGATTCATATGAAAAATCAAGTAGATAGTTAATTTATTAAAATTAAAAATTAACTTAACATATTTTTATTTAAGCTTTCATATATTTACTTATCTATTATTATAAAAATATTCACATATTCAGAATAATTTGCATAATAATTAGGTAAAATAATAACTCACAGATATATATTTTTTCTAACTTTAATTGCACACGCTTTCTGCTATCTTCAATTGTTAAAAATATTTAAATAAATTACTACAAAAATGTTGTAAGTGTACCTACTAATTCAAATTAAATTTCTGGAAATTGTTAATAGATTATTAAATCACTTAAATGCATGATATTTATTTGAAAAAGTATTTTACGTTATTTTATACCTCATAGGACATAACTTAAAAATAACAATTAATGTTTGTATTTGAAAATTTGTGAAAGTTAAAAGGATAAAGTATTTCATTTTTTTCTTTTTTAATTACACAAATACATACAATCTTGTTCTGAATTCCCATAATTAATTATTGTACACATAATAATTTTATAATTGCTTTATATACAATCAACAATACATCTTTGAATGGCCATGGGAAAATGAAAATTTGAGTGTACTTTAAAGTATATTAAATATCAAGTCAATAACAACTGAAATGGAAGGGCTTTCACATCTTAAAATTGTATGTAGAAAGAAACTATAAATTCTATTTTAATCAATACAAAGTATGTTAAGTATATATTATATCATCAAGAAAATAAATGATCTAAATTATGATTTATTTATTTATAGGTAATAGTGTAGGTGCTAAATTATAAAATAACTGAATACTTTGCATTGATATTTTGAAAAAAATAACTTTTTCAACTAATACTTATTTAATATTAAAATTTAAATCATTTTAAAAATCACATAATTAAATGCTTGTGTTAGCTAAATAACAGAAACTAAAACCAAATTTGATACCTACTAAATATTCAAAAAAAATATTATCATAACAAATTAGCTACATTTTTTTTTTTGTTACTTTATCTTATTAAAATTAAGCTTCACATCATGATATAATGTTATATCTGTTTATTTATAATTGTTATAGTATTCAGTGCTCACCTATTCATATAAATATAATATTTTAAATTAAAATTCAATCATAATTTAAAAAAATCCTTTTTATGTAAATAGGAGATTAAATCAATAGATAAAGGTTAATAATTTATAATATTATAATTATACCCTGTTTAGCAAAAGAACAAGCTGATTTTGAGCATCCAAAAGCAAAAAACTATCATTGAGACTGGTTTAACTATGGCTGGTGTCACTGGGAATGTGCAGAATAACCGATTTTGGTCTAGCTTCAACGTGCTCTCTCACTGAAATAGTTCAGCTATCTATAAGTCAACATTTACTTACATAGCTGGAAAAAAATGAAGGCCCTTAAACCAGTTTAAAAACAAGTTTTATACACTAGATAAAAAAACTGATTTAAATTATTAATTTTTCAAAATACTCTAATCAATTTTCAGATACAATCTACTGTCTGATAATTAGTACCTATACTCTATCCCAAAACAGTACAATCACATTTGAACGTCGTGAATGATGCGATTGGCGTTTCGAGACCCACGGATCATGCCAACATAAGGACCTTATTGGGAGATGCGCAGCACTGACGTAAATCTGTCAGCCGATAGATTGTTCCCTTTTGATACAGACTATAGGCATTCTAATATCCTATAGCAATCTATGACCTTTTTTCTTCAATAATCAACATACAAAATCAAATAAATGTCAATCTAATATTCAGAAATTCAAACTACCAACAATTTTTAGTAATTGTATTTTATAAATAATAAATAATAACAAAGCCACAAAAGCGGTATGTACTATTACTTACTGTTAAATAAACAGCTTATTACCTATGTCTTCATATTAAAGTTTTAAGTTTTAATTGGTAGCATTGCTTTAACTTACATACATCAGTCACATTGAACAAATATTTTATTTAAAAAAAAAAATTGATACTACTCAACGAAAGTCATAAAATAATATTAAACTTTTAAATATACTTCAGTGTATACCAGTAGATTCTAAGAACTAGAATTGATTTCAAATAAGCTGACGACTGTAAGCTATATAAAATTATTATAATACATATAAATTTAAATAATTAAAAATCAAGATATATCTTTTGCAGTTTAATTTTCAATTGCATTTATACAAATTACGACAACTCCAACTATACATACATACACTTCATTACAGCTATACCAATCATGAAAATAGATTAAAAGGCTTAACACTGAGTTGAACCGGATTTAAAATGGTTACTAAGAGCATAGGTATCTACTATCTTATACAAAATATACATTATAATATGAAGGCTGGATAAGTGGTTTTGAAATATACCATATGGAAATAATCAAACATACACGAGATATTTTATTGGAAGTTAAACTACTTTAAAGTGTTCAATAGTAAGACCATTTAATTTACCATAATTGAAAGTAAATCAACAGATTCTCAAAAGTATTTAATACATAGGTCGGTAATGTGAACCGTAAGACATACTTAATTAGTAATACTTCTTATTCATGAAAGTCATACAAATGTCTTACTGAAATGAGTCAGTACCTGTATAATGTTTTCAAACTATTTAATGTAAACAGACAAATAGTTATTTTATAATAATATTATGACCGATTGTTTAATTGTTTAGTAAAAGGATACCGATACTCAGTACTTTATTCTCCAACTTTTCAACGGGAATCGGTTTTCCGGCGGATTCCAATAATTTCCATAAGCCTTGGACACCCATAATGTATTAATTTAAGAATTGGAAGACTAAATAAAATACTTTAAAACGTTATGGAGAGAAAAAAAACATTTCGCTCGGTGTATTTCATCATCCAAAAAAAACTATTGCACACAATATCGAGTGGTATCATCAACTCGGCTTGTTTAGATAACAACTCATACAATATTATTATGATAACGATGTGGACGAAACCGTGGTAGAGGTGGGGGGTTGTCGTAAGCGACGCGAGACGGAGGTACCTAATTGGCGCGGCCGTTCACAGAATCACAGCATCAACGTAATATTATTATTATTATTATTATTATTATTATTATTATTATTATTATTATTATTATTATTATTGCTGACCAATGATCATTGTAACTTGTAAGTAGACTGTCTGATTGTATTGCTCGATATTACGAATGGAAACGGGTCAAGAAGACTCAAAGACATAATATTTTGATATTATTACCTAAATACAATATATTATTTTAATGTCATTCGTCTTCACATAGATTCTTACCTTAGAGCGATGAATGTAGCCATGTAGGAACCTATATTAGTTTTTCAATGATGTTTATTTTATTTTCTGTCTGTCATCGAAACTTTTGGGGAAGTAAACGACTTTTACTTCAGCATCCTTCCTGGTAGGAAAAAATTGTTCATTCCCAGAAGAAAGTTTTTAAAAGCGTCGGATGAAAGATAAAAAAAAATTTAAGGAGAAATAGCAAATTTTACGCTAATCCATTTGTTGATAAAATCTATTTTATATTTCTGATGTAACTCAAAAACTAGTAAGGTACAGTAGATACATAAAATGTTCACCATCTTCATGATAAAACTGTCAACATATTTAAGCTCTCTTTGAGCTATTTTTAGCTATAACAAATTTTTCAATTTTTCCATTTACCTACCTATTTTATGTAGTTGATAAATAATTATGTTTTGTTCGATTAAAATACTTGAAAATGTAATATAAAGTTCCACATAAGTTGTAATTAATGTAATAGGTATTAAAAAAAGCGGGTAACTATAAAATTATTTGTAAATTTTGAATTATATATATATTGTCAACATTATAAACTTTAAATACGTATAAAAAAAAAATCGTGCCCATGTGTTTTTAATATTTTTAAACTGAAATACAATGGTGGGCGGAAAAAATTCCACTGAAAAAAGCACAAAAAAATGAATATACTTGCAAGGAAGAAATAACCAAAAAAAAATTTTCTGGGTATTTATTTATTTATTTTTTTTTTTTTGTGTTCACATTTAATGTGAACACATGCACCTATTCTCTACTCTTATAATAAGTAATTAATAATTCATAAATTATTATAGCCAATATAGGCTATTGTATATGCGGATACTCAATCAATAAGAAACTTTTTTTTTACCTTTATTCAATGAAAAATTTCAAATAAAAATTATTTTATTTCAGAATATGGCTCATGCTTGACTATTAATTATATATAAAAAACAACTTGTAATAGTAAAAAAATTTTAATTTAAATATAAACTCATATATACATAATATACCGTGTTATAAGTTACAAGTCAAAAAACATCAGGGGTGTAAGTATTAATCTAAAGTAATATCAGTAGTATTATTACCAAATCTTAGGTATAAAATTATATAGGTACTACATTTTTTGGGCAACTATAATAATAATAATAATATAATAATTAATAAGTTAATACAATACAAGTAGTAGTATAATATATTTAGTCAAAAATTAAAGTAAAAGAACATCAGTCTTACGTATATATAAATTAAACATGATAATAATTTATGACATTATTTTTATTATATTTTGTTATAGGTACATGCCACACGGTATTTATTAATTAGGAGTAGAGCATACATGTGTTCACAACTATATTTAATTTTTTCTGGGCTTTCTTCCGGTGGTCTTTTTTTCCACGAATCTGTAACAATTTATCAGAAACCTCGAATTTCATTTTGAAATTTTGACATTTATGAAAAAAAAACAAAAAAATTTAAAATTTAAAATGTCCATAAACAGTTCAAAACAATAAGTCAAAATATTTTGAAAATTGTATCAAACATATGAATTGATAAATTGATAAACATATGGTGGAAACTTTTGGAATCTAGTATTGAATTTTAAAGTCCTAGAAATAAAAGAAAATTTTTTATGAACTTCTAACTCAAATTAATTTGCAATTTTTTGTGAGGTTTACGAATTTTGTCAAAATACTAATTTCAAACGTTCATACAAAATTATTGTGGATCTAACTTTTTTTTAATCGTCACTGACAACAACTTACGAAGACCCTTGAATTACATTCTAAAGTTTTTTGATAGGTGAAAATATAAGTACCATTACTTTTTACATGCATCTAAATTTAATAGCTTAAATTTGGACAAAATTCTTCAAAATCCTAAACATTTGCAAATAATTTTTCAGTTGGAAATTCATAAAAAAAATTTTTCATAGCCATCATTTAAAAATGATTTTTCTCATAAGTTTTTCTAAATTTAATAAAAAAATGTACAGTCCAAAAGTTACATTATTTATAGCCACGATATATGTGATATGTCTAATTTGTATTTGTATTTTTTTAAATTATTAAATTTGATTTTTTGAATAAGTTAACTTAGACTGATATATAGGGTGATCATAATTTTTTTCCTTCAAAGCAGGACACCTGTAAAATTTTAATTGGAAAACCATATAATTTTGGGTAAAATGACAATACCTACTGGAAATACAGCGCGTTTTATTAGAAAAAAAAACCATTAATTTTTTATATAAAAAATGAAAACAGAAAAACGCAGATAATATATTAATAATAATAACGTAATAATAGTCAATAGGGTAAATTATTCGGCCGGTTTTCTATATTTTTCTCCACTAAGTAACCGGGCAAGGCGGCGGAACAACTAAGATAATATTAATTAATAACATATTGTGTTGTCTATTTATTGCCTATTCCCGCAGTCGACGAAGTGATAGGGATAACTATACAGCTACAGTATTTTTTGCATCATTTGAATCTATGGACTATGGGTCTTACACTTTAATTATATGTATATGTATACCTGTTTACAAGTATACGTATCTAGTTTAATATGTATACATATTTATCAACCATAGTTTATGATTTTGGTTTTGATGAATAAAATATACCTATAACTATCACATAGGTTGCCTTCTCTCAAAGCGGGACATTCTTATTTTTTGGATTTTTTGGGGTCAGCTGGACACAAATCTTGAAAGCGAGACGCATGGTCAAGTTACTGATACACCATAGCCGCTCAAAATCATTTATCATCTACAATGATTTATCATTGAATTCAAATTTAACACATCCATTACAATAAATAGAGAAAAATACTTTTGATTCGTGTTTAAAAAAAAATGTAAGATTGACATGCCGATAGTAGACATTTGAATTTGAACCGTACAGGGGAACATGGGGCAAAGTATACGCTATAATGACTGAAAGCCTGTAATTCGCTGAGAAATCAATTTTCCCTTTCAAACTTTGTTTTTACAATCTATAGCACTATAGGTTATGGTAATTGATTATGCATGTTTGATTTTTTTTTTTTGTAGTTTAGAAGGATGTAAAAAATCACAGTTTTCACCACTTAAAAGACACACGAAATATACAAAAAAAAAAAATCATTTAAATTCCATATATTTTAATTTATTTAACCACCACAAAAAAATGATTTATAAAAAACACCTACTTATATTATAAGCCAATAGGTATTTGCTGTATTTAAATATTTTTAAAATGTATTAATCTGTTGAAACATTGAATCAACACTTAAAAGTATTAAGATATACTTAATTTTAAGGGGTTCTTAATATATTTAGGGACTAGTTAAAATTTTTCCATTGTACAATTTGTTTCACAATTTGCATACTATCAATTAGTAGGTACCAACATATTTTTATTTTCAAAGTTGTAGCTTGTAATTATATGTACCAATGTACTGAAAAAATAGAATTCATTGATATTTAAATTAGTGGAATAGCTCTGTATTAAGTTATGATAATATATACTGTATCGGCTATTCGGCTATCAGTATCCTATTATATTTATTTCAAACGAATATCTATGTCTACGTGTACATTTTCAATAAAATAATAAAATACAGAAAATACCAAGAAAACCAATTATTATGTATCATAGTTAAAACTTAAGATCTCATGTCTTCAGTCTATAGCATGACATTACATATTATTTTATAATAATGTACGTATATATTATTCACCCCTATATCATTCAGAAAATTTTGTGGAAATTATTACCTATATTGATATTACAACCTTACTGCATATCTGAAAGTTTTTAAAAGTTAAGTCTTAGGTCAGTGCAATTAGCCCCTCCTCAATTCAACCCAGACACTTCAAACCTATTATACAAAAAGTTTGATATTTATTTGTTTTTTTTTTGGAATTCACAAGTCTTTGGTTTTTAAAGAAAAATATTTTTTTTCTCCCTTACTTCTTAAAACTTTGACTTGGCTTTTTGTGACTTTATGTGAATATGTGATCTTATTTATATATTGACAATACAATTCAATGAAGTATTAATTTGTACACATTTCTACACTGTTTAGTTTAAAAACATCGGAAAAAACAGTACCTACCTAGATACTTAAATTAACAAGCTCTTGTGGACGTTTAGTATAGATTCCAAGTTGTCCGCTCTGCTGAATAATAATTTTATGATGACAATGATTAATTATGCCATTGCCATTCCTCACAAATTCAAATTAACAATGCAATACTAGCTTACACCGGGCGAACGAAGCGAGACGGCTATATAGTATAGTAAATTAGTAAAGTATATAGTATGCATTATAATAGGCATAGTATAATATTAAATATAGTGATCCAACACCCTGGAAGTCGTCATGCAGGTATATCCTGCGATCTGTCCGTCTTTTAAAGCAATGTGCAGGCCACAGGATGGACATTATTATATTGGGTACTTGCTCAGTCACTGAGATTAAAAAAATGTTGTCGTAATAGATCAATATATTAATCGTAGCCCATAGGTTTATAGTAGGTACTACAGTCTACACTCCACAGTGTATAATACAAGTGTATAATATGTGCCTATAGGCTATATATATGTATTGACATATTATAGTGTATAATATAATGTATTTGTGTATACT